GGACAAATGTACAGGTGCGAGGATATCCACAGGGCAGGGTCAAAAACGTCAAGATGGTGCCATGACAATGCAAGGTTCCACCTGTTTTTATGTACATCGCACCTGAAAAGAAGGTGGAGCTTTGTTCATACCATCCAGCTACCATCTTGACATTTTTGAGCCTACCCCATGGACACCCTTGAATGTACTTGTCCTGATCCAGCAAGACTCTTTAATGGAGTTTACAGATATCATATTTAAGGTCTGGTTTGTTTAACTACAGGTTACTGAGTAAATAAGTGGTTGAATTTGCATAATGCAAAAGCCCTAAAGCTGAGTTCATACACTATACCAAATCAAAGTCAGACAATCCACATGATGGATTGCATGTTGTAGAAGCTCAACCCTTACATTCTTAGCCTTCTCCTACCTGGGGGAATCCTGTCATTTTCAGATTCCTGGAGATTATGGGAGCTGTGATCCAAAATATCAGCTTGGAAAAGGCTGTAGTAATATCTCCAACTCTTGTAACATCAAATTTTAGACAAAGATACTGCTGGGGCCATTAATGTTGGACTCCCTAGTCCTGAAGGAACAGAGGGATCACACAACAATGATTTTGGACTAATGATCTTTCATCATTTTATCCTTAATCACCTTTGTTAGGCATAGCAAAAATGAACAGGCTGTGTTCAATCTGTTTTGCTGTACAATCAAAACTGAGAATGTATGCAATCTGTTTTTTCCAGGGATGAATTTTGCTCTGTTTTATTGCTATTATCAGAAACAACCCAATCACTGCAAGATTTTCAGGGGTAGACAATCCAGCCACTGGTTTCCCTTACGACACAAACAGGCTCCCTCCTTGTACCTCTTTGCCCTGTCCTTCTCATCTTCGTCCATCAGCTCGTTTACACGATACAGAGTTCTGGAATGAAAATATGCAATGGTCACTTTTCCGTTGGCATAACAAACATTACCTGGTGCTATGGCAACATTTGTCACATTTGTGAGACGGGCAGCTATAGAAATCTGACAGATCAATAAATAAACATTATAAATCAATGGTTGATACTGAGGTTCTGTTTCTTCCCTGGCTCATTGAGATGTGTAGTTTGTGATACCCAGAATTACAGCCAATAAATTATATTTAAAAATCCATAAAGTTGTATCAGTTATCCAGTTCTTTGCACAGCGACATGGCTGTTCCTTCATCCTTCTAAAATATGGCAAGGAGTAAAAGTAAGAATCATTGACCGTTGGAGTTGGGCGGCCAGTCAATTTAAATAAATAAATATAATAGCAATAACAACAATTACAATAATATGCAAGATGATCTAGCAGATAACTGTCAGACCCAACGTTTTTATTTTTTTAAGACAGACCACGGGAGAAAGCACAGAGAATGACATAGCGCTCTCGTCCCCGTCCTTCTGAGATTTATTTAGAACAGCATTTCCAACCTTGGTAATTTCCAGGTGGGTGGACTTCAACTCCCAGAATTCTCATCAATGGCCATGCCGACTGTGGAATTCTGGGATCTGAACTCCACACACCTGTTTTGGTTTGTTGTGTTCCAAATCCAGCTACTGTTTAGAGGTGCACAGAACTTTGTCATCACCTAACGGTTAAGTAGGGAGTCTCAGTATACAGCTTGGTTGGATGAATATTGTATTTATTTTACCAGATTACTAAACTGCTAAAAGAACGGTTCTTCAAAATCATACCATGAGGATACACCATTAGGTGGCAATTTGACTACATGTAGAGAGAAGGAAGATGACCTTGATGGAGATACGAGCTCTGCTGCCAGGGCAACAAGGGGCAAATCATTTTCTAAGTCCGCAATGTTCAGATAATGTTCAGAAGTGGCTCAGACAGACACTTTCCTAATTCATTGGGGTATAAGAAGGAGGAGGAGGTCCAGCACAATCAGACTTGCAAGATTCTGTCATTATAGCCAATCTCAATAAAAAAAGAGTTTTAGTCTTCCTGGGGACTTGACTTCTTGGCCTGGTCTACCTGGTGGGGAGGACAGTGATGAAGCATAGAGAGTTTAGAGAGGAATGGAACTAATTAGAAACAATAAGCATAGCTAAAGGAGACATTATTTCACAATCCTTTGATTGGCATTAGATTTACCCATCCAGATGAAAGACAAGGCAACAGCCTACAGTTCTGCCCAACGGGCCAGAACAGACAATCAGAGCAAAATCTAGTTCTTTGTTTCTCTTATTTCACTAGGACCTAAGGGACTAGGAAGAAGGCTGCCTTTGGCGACAGGGAGAGAATTCCCCCAGAGCGATGCACAAACGTCTGCTGGAATCTCACCCTCCGTCAATCAGAAACCAGGAGCTTGGTAGAATTTTCACCGATGAATCTAGGACCACACCCAGTGCCCCAGGGACATTTTTACATGGGTACATGGGTGCAGCCAAATATTTTTTGCTGCGCAGCAACCGCTGCCTCAAACACAGAAGAGAAATCTCATGCATGGCATGTTACACCCACATAGACTTCTTTAATCACCCTCATGTATAACCAAAAAGCCAGATGTCTTCCCATTACAGCAGAGGAGTTGCATAGCACAAGTTATTGTTTCAAATAAGAAAGACCAGTGAAACTGCAGCCAAACGTTGCTTATAGACCACTTCAGTTAGACTCCTAGTCAGCCAACAGCTTCAATAGCACTTCATACTATTCTATGTTTTTCCTAAATTTGCTTTTTTCCTCCAACAAGTAGCCAATATTTTGCATCCCCTGAACACACTCAGAACTTACTGGCTATGTCCAGAAAAGCATAGTATAGCAGATCACTCATTACTTTAAAATTCTTGAAGTACTATGCAAACCTAATCCATGTGCTTGTTGTACATTGCTATGTACTGTGATCAATTAACTGATTGACTGATAATTGATTATGTGCTATCAAGTCAGTATCAATTCTTAACAACCACATGGATAGAACTTCTCCGGGAAGATCTATCTGCAACCTGGCCTTTCAAGCCTTCCAAAGGTGTCCCCATCACCACTGTCACTGACTCCATCCACCTTGCTGTTGATTGTCCTCTTCTTCTCTTTCCTTCCACTTTTCCCAGCATTACAGCCTTCTCCAGAGCTAGGTCTTCACATGTGTCCAAAATATGATAATATGAGCCTGATCATTTTGACCTTGAGTGAAAATTCTGGATTGGTTTGTTCTATGATCTATTTCTTTGTTTTCTTGCCTAGCTATTTTTCTATAAAAATCCAGACCATGGGATAATTCAGTAACTAAGTTAAGTGTGTTGTGTGAACAGAGCTACTGGGTTGTTTGGGTTCCTCCAAACCTACTAAGGCTGACCCACCATTTTTTTTCATACTTCAGTAAATGCTTGGTTTCCCCCAAAACACAGGTTCTAACCACGGGGAGCCTAAAATAACAAAATATGTGTCATATGTCACATTGCAAGCTGTCTCCTTTCATCCTTGCATTGCAACACGCACACAAAGATGGTGGGGGGGGGGGGAAATCCCACCAACTGATCAACCAAGTGATAGATGCCTATGCTTGCGGCTGCCCACCCCCCCTCTTATTTGTAACTGGTGCTACCCACAGACAGCCCTGGTAGAAAAAAGACAACCTAAAACAAACCTAATCTTCTTTTCCCTGACTCAGAAAACACGTATAGCTAAAAAGAAATGACAAGAAAATAAACAGGAAAAAATATGCTTTCTAATTCTACTGAAAGTTACTGATTAAAAAAAAAGGGGGGGGTCAGATAAGGAAGGTTACTCAGAATCACCAAAAGCAAGTAAGAATCAGATTGGATATTACCTGTTTTATCCTGCAGATTCATCAGTCCAGGATGGCAGGGGATGGTAAGTGCATTTAATTACAACCATGAAAATAAAGGAAGAAATGATCCTAAAAAACAGAAAGTTTCAGAAAACTGTCAAAGCTTTCTAAAAATTAGTCTTTTTTTTTTTTGCATATTCTAATCAAGCACCAATACCCATACGCAGAAATGTATTAAATAAAAATGTCTAAATATATTTTATGAATTGATTATCAACCTGTTTATCATCACCATAATTGCAGATTAGCTGGGTTTTCTTTTCAAGGCAAACCATTTATTTGTGAATCTCCAACTGGTCCCTGGACAAGGGGAAGGGCGAGGGCAAAATCGCCCTTCGGTGTGACTACCCCAGAAGGCAAGGGTGAAGGTGCCATGGCGTCTCAGTTGCAAGAGGAAGAGGGAAGCTCCAGATGCTGGGAGGTGGGACAAGATGGGAGGTCCCATCAGTGACAAAGCGCTCCTCTTGCAGCTTCAAAAGAATAACTGGAAATTGGCTTTGCACCACTTATTTAATCAATTTCCCAAGCTGTATGGAATCTAACTGCTTTGGCATCATGGGGGCAGTCAGTCCCACGCTGGCTGGGGAATTCAGGGACTTGGAGTTCACACATCTTAAAGGTGCTGACGTTGAGAAACACTGGTTTATAGGATTTTAGGAAGAAAAATAAGGTTTAATGTTATTAAGATGATGTTGAATTTTATACCAAAACTTGGAATTTATCCTTCCCTGAAGGACTTTGGGATTTGTTCAGATTGGAGTGTAGCCCAAAAAATATGTTCTGCTTTGATAGTTCTGCTCAGCATGTAAAATCCTGGATTGAAGACATGCCTTTACTCTCTGCCTTTGAATTGGCCCTTTATCAACACAATGAAAGACTGAAAAACATTATTCTATGCGGTTAAGGCTTAATTTGTTGTTTAAAAACCAAGTCGCAATTATGCACTCGTCTTAAAACACAAGAATTAATGGGAGTGTAATTCATCTCAGTGCAAAGTCATTGGCCAGGTATGGGGCAAGAAAGCCCTTCTGCATTGCCACACCCTCAAGACAAGCCCCTTTAGCCACTTGTGGCTTGTACACAGGAAGGAGGAGAAAATAACTCCTCCACGTTAGGAAGAACTTGTTGGGTAGCTACACCTTAGCTCCGACTAATGTTTTTTCTTATTTTTCTAATATTTTAGATATCTAATATTTTAGATTAATATTTAGATATTAATATTTTTCTAATGTTTTAATACACACACACAACGAAACAACCTTTAAATTAAAAGATAACTTTTAAAAATGAGAAAAGAAAACAACCCCAAACACACTAAAAATACAAATCAGGAAAGAAAAGAAAAAGGGGGAAAAATCTGCCTTATATTTTATACCTATCAGTAGACATAGGTTTACTACTAAAGACACTACTATAATGTAATCAGTCCAAAATATGACTGTAAAATATCGCAACATCTCTGCCACGCTAACCCTATTGCTGCATCCTTGGATTAGTAGATAATATTCCCTTTTCCAAAAGAGAGAGATCACCCATTTCCAACAACCATGCCTTGACATCTGGAATCTGGAATTTCTGAATATGATTCTTTTAGTCACCCCTTCTGCTTAATACAATAATTATTATACGATAATTTAGAATTCCTGAGAAACAGATTCAGTTCTGACTAGCTCTCCAAACATCCTTAGCTGTAGAACAGCTTTTCCCAAAATTGCCTGTCCTTTGCCAACTCCTTCCCTCTTCCCACGTTGCTTTTTGGCCACAAAGACTTTCATAAATCATGCATGCAAACCTAACTGGTGCAGAAGTGTCTTTCCTGGACATAAAATATATTACTGCACTAAAGAAGGAACAGTCAGTTCATCAAGAAGGCAAAGCAACTTTTCACACGAACCAATTTCTGAGTGGCATCCTTCTTTTATTGCATTTGCATCTCATACTTTTTATCCAAGGAATTTGTAGCAGCGATATGAATATCTCACTGAATATATGCAATATGGAGACATTCGATTATGTACTGAGCATTTTCCCCCCTCCACCATGCTAAAGCCACTAATTTGGTCAAACCGTTTGGGGTTCCCTATATGAGGCTTTCAATAGCTGCTTATTTGTTTCAAAAGTTTATTTTAGATATTGCAAGGAACAGCCTGTGGGAATGAGACTCTTCTAGCATCCAGAAGTTTGAGAAAGTGGACCGCTGAGATGTAACCAAAGACCAAAGTTGCATGAAGACACTGTTTCAATTTCAGAACCATGGATGGCTGATTGATTTTTCGACTTGTATGGCCGAAAACAAACACCTTAAAGAAATCAACCAGACTAATGAGTCTAAGGTTATCCCTACTATTGTTTAATATTACAGTATCACTCATTTGGTTTACTATAAATTATCATTTTGAGCTTCTATGGAAGAGGGAGGTCAGAAAACGGGTCTCTGCTCCTAGTCTAATAGCAACAGGCAGTGCAACACCTTTAGGGAGGAGTAAATGAATCCTACCGCATGATAAGGATGCCCCCATTTGAAAAAGACCCTCCCCAAATTCCCCTTCTCAAGCCTACATTCTCCCTTATGTGTGATGTGGTTTTATCTATAGCATAGCACAGATCAGTGTTTCTCAACTTACCAACTTTAAGATAGGTGGACTTCAACCCCCAGAATTCCTCAGCCAGCTATACTGTGAATTCTGGGAGTTGAAGTCCACCTATCTTAAAGTTGCTAAGATTGAGAAACACTGGCACAGATCGTATTCCTCAGCCTTCACTTCTGTAAAATGGGGAGAACATCCACCTGCTTTCAGGGTTACAGTAGGGGCAAATGAACAAGAGAATACTGTCATCTGACCTAGAAACCAACAGCACTAAGTAGTAGGATAAACAACAGTGAAAACAGTCATTGTTCTGCCTTGTTTCCACTGTCAGGCAAGAAACTCATTAAGCGCTGCGCATAAAGCTAATCCTGGGCCAATGAAAACACACATGACATCCTGGGCTGGGCACATATGATGACAGAGACGGTCATACCTCTTTAAGAAAGGTAAGATACTTCTGGATTAAGGTTATTGCAGGGACAAGTTGTAGAATTTTTAAAGACGGCTCCTTGCCAGGTGTAGAATCTACGCTCGCTGGTCCTCGATGGAGGAGTTATTCCGATTCCTTGTTCCCATAATCTTCCTTTATAACTTCCTTTCCAAGCCCCCTTTTTAGGCGAGCCCTTGGTTACGAGAGGGATGTTAGTAATCCGTGTGCACCTTTGAAAAGGAGCACTACTTTCTATACGCAACAGAAAGGAACAGCTTGCCTCTCATCGCTGAACATATAAGAACGGGGGTCCCCACCCACCCTCCAGACTGCAAAGTTAACCTTTCCGCAAAGTATTGCTGATTCAATCATAGCACATTTTTATAGATGACATTTAAGAAAGCAAGCCGGTCTCCCGTATTCCTTGGAGAGGGTTTAGCACCTCCTCTCAAAGCAATAATTAAAAAAAAAAAATCTATACAGGCAGCATTAAAATCTGCCTCCTGCTATTCACGTAATGCTGCAAACCCAAACTGACATTTAACAAATGGAGGAGAAACTCAGAAAAAGATGCTCTGGGAAAACTGGCCAAAGCTGACAGCTGTCCACGCCAAAGAACAGTAATATACTTCAGATAGAGAGAGAGAGAGAGAGAGAGAGAGAGGGATGGATGGATGGATGGATGGATGGATGGATGGATGGATGGATACACACACACACACATTTTCTGTCTCTCACACACACACACTCACATATATGGTGTACCAAATGTCAGGCTCCACAGACAATGT